CAATTAATGTGCAGACCTATTTTGGATAATAACATATTTCAACCTTTTATATTTCAATCTATCACATGTTTACATCTAATTTGTTGATTATGGTAATTGAAATCCCGCTTTTTACCATAGACTCAAATATCAGATTCTCTTTTTTTTTTTGAAAAATCACTTGATGTTCAATGATTATCAAAAATCTGTGACAACAAGCCACAATGACTTTTGATGTCACAACAGATATAACACAATTAAAACCTACTATAAATACTTCATCCCTTAATATAATTCAAATCAACTTATGCTTTCTTTCTAATGATAAAATCAACATTTTCTTTAAAACTGTTCAATCTACTAATTGATACTAATGGTAAGCATATTATTCCAATCAGTAAATCTATCAATGTTATAGTCTGAATTATCCTGAAATTCAAAGCAACCTATTATAATTTATAATACGCTATTTTCTATTTTTACAATCAATTCGATTTAGATATAGCAAAAAATGAAAATAGTATAGTTCTTGATAAAAACAATTAATATGAACTGACACCTCTCAAAAACTCTATTACATTTGTTCAATTACAGGTTATCAATCACATAACTGTAAATATAACAGATCGATTCCATCTGATCATCAAACACAGAATCTATATCAAAAATATCAACCAGCATAATATTATAAATATACTACATCCACTCTAAAATCAAAAAAAATAATCCAAATATTTTGTCTAAGTTTTAACAACCAAAAAACATTAACCCTTATCAATCAAATAATAATAACTCTAACCCAAAATAGACCTCTGCTCCTAAAAAAAACCCCTCTAATATGGGTAGTTAAAGATACTAATGACAATTAATTGAACGTGAGCATTCATGCACAAGGAATGTAGGCAGAATAAACTGAAGATATATACTATCAAAATGATTCCAAAAACTATATGAATCAAATAAAAGCTATTAACCTAAAAAACTTGATCAGTTTTGATGCAAATAATTACAATAAACTTACATCTAGCAGAAATGCATAATGATATCAAATTTACCATTTATAGAGTTGAACTATTGAAAAAGCATTAAATTTTTTTACACTCATACCAAAAAGCTACAGAACTCAATGAAGCTAAAAAAGCCAATCTCACAAATAATGAAGAAATGATAACAGTACTAAATATAATGCTAAAGTCAATGTATCTGAATACATTCTTACCAATCAAGAAATCTTTTTACGTTCAGTCCAAGATGAAAACAATGATCTTAAAGCAAATCTGAAAATAATATAGAAAAATTAAACACTACATTTAAATCATCGCAGATTACAATCTTAGTTTACTGATCTTTTAACATTAATTAAGGTGCAGCAATACAAAAGGAAATGATCAACAATATATACAGTAAAAATTACAAGAAAAAGTTTTATGATAAAAAGAGGAATAATCATTTTATTAAGAAAAAGAATAATACTCAAATAAATTATGGACCGAAAAGGAAGATTATATGAAACAGATAAATCACAGAAGAAAATGATTCGGATAAATTAGTTATCAAAGGAAAAAGGATAATTAATTAACCGAACAGAAGGTCAAAGAAAAAGGATAATTAATCAACCGAACGGAGGGTCTTATAAAAAAACAGAAAAATATTTGAAAAATAACAAATTGAAGAAGTTACATAAGAAGCAAAAAGGTTACACAAAAAGCATACTCATTGGAATGATAAACTGGATCACATGGAAGCATATGTAACATAAAGGTTATACATAGCATCATAAACAAAACAAAAATCAGAAGAAGAACGAAAGTTAGTAAGCAGTACGAAAGAAAAACAGAAGTCTGAAAAAGTAAGAAGGAAAAATTATTATTAATAAAACCTTAAGAAAAACAAGTAAGAATTAATATAACGGAAATAAAAATAATATAACAGAAACAGAAATATGAATTAATACAACAGAATAAAATTAAATAGTAAACAATAAACAATAAATAGTAAACAAATACAAATACAGAATTTAGTAATAAACAACAGAAAATTAGGAATAATAGTAAAAGTAGAAATCATATAATAGAAAATCATGTAGTAAAAATCATGTAATGAATATTACGAAGTGAATTTTATTATATAAAGGCTTAGGATTCCCTCAAGGAACCAAGTCATTCAATTTCTCAAGAATAAAAAAAAAAAATTAATTTAATAAATAAACTTTTAACACAAATAAAAATGAATACTTTTGTTTAAAATAATTAATTGTTGAATAATAAATTATGGAAATAATAAAGTTATTTTGCTAGTATATAAACTATAATTTTAGAAAAATATCAATGAAGTAATATTGAAATAAAACTTAAAAGGAATAATAAAAATATAATAGAAAGTTAAAGAATATTTAAACATAATGATACGAAGGGAGTAAATAAAAGAATTAAAGAAAATATTAGAGGATAAAAAGGAGAAGTAATATTCAGAAATAATATTCAGAAGATATTTGGAAAACACATTCAGAAGAAACATTCACAAGTAACATTCAGAAGTAACATTTGGAAATAACATTTGGAAGATATAAACGGAAAAGATAAATAAAAATTAATGTTAAGAATAATAAGAATTAAAGAGAAGAAGTATATTAATTTAAGAAAGATAAAGAATAACTTAACTAAAGATTAGACTACAATAACATTGAAAGGAAATTATTGAAAGAAATTATCGCTCAATATAAAGGAAAAGATTCTCAGCAATTAAAAATTAATTTGTAAAACAAATCCTCTTGATAATGAGTAGCAAAAATGATCAAGAAGATACAAGCTATGTTGAAGCTTATCAAAGTCAAAAATGCTATACATTTGTAAAACAAGGGTTATGGCAACTACACTATTCTAATTCTTATTGAACTAGATGTAATCTTTTGCAATGAAGAAAGAAATATTATTCCACCTATCCAAGGATTTTTAAATGATGAACATTAATATAGAAATACTAAACGTCAGATCATTTACTGACAAAAGCAAATAATAATAGTTTTTCAATTTTTTTCAAATACATTATTTCAATATTATTGCTCTTTAAAAAATGAATTTCTATTCCCTTTACATCTCAAAAGTTTCATATATTCAATCTTCCACTCAACATTTTATTATTTAATTCACAAAATGATAGACAAAGAATTGGTTATGATACTAGTCTAATTATCAAAAAATCTTACATTGATTATATTTACAAACATGTTTTTATCCAAAAACGTTATCAATTAATTGACTTTCAATTTAAAAACAAAAATCATTTATAAATTATCAACCTCTATACTCCTACATCCAATGACATTTTATGAAAAAAATTTTTCTAAAGTTATACAACTTATTATGAAATTAAACAATCTTAATATATTAATTATTCTTCTTAGAGATCTAAACGCAGAATCTTCTAAAAAATAGAACATTAAATTTACTAATAATTTCTAGATAACCACAATTTAACTAATACTCTCTTGTTACTATCCTCAAAAATTAATAAGAGTGATCTATTCACATTTAAAGAAAATCATTCGTCATTAATAATAGATCATATTTTTTCATAGATCTTATTTTCAATTTTCATCAACATATAGTTCTTTCAGTTGACTCAACTTATTCAAATCATAAGATCATACAATTCAAACTTCACCCTAATACCTTTCACCAGTATTTAAATTAGCCACTATTATCAAAAAACTGATCTTCAATTTTTAATAATATGAATAATAACTAATGGTTAAATTCAGTAATAAAACTGATAAATATTTAGAAAAATCACCATTGGTATACACAGATCTAATTAATTTCGATTTGAAACCTAAGCTTAATTTTACCTAAAATCAACTTCAAAAATATATAATGATGCAACTATGAAAACTGTCTCACATAAATACTTTTCTGCATATCAAAAAGATATTTATCTTAAATTGTTAAAAGATACATATATTCACCTCAAATTAGTTCAAAAATTATATAAAATTTTGAAAAAATGTATCAAAATTAGCAATTTGATAACAAATGGACAAAATATTTCTAACTTTTCTTCATTTGCAGATAAAGATAAGGTGATTCATTAATTAACCAGTTCAACCTCAGTTTAGAACCTTAGTTCAATTAGTGCTAATTCTAATTTTTGGAACTTTTAGAAAACTGGTTCTAAACTGAGTTTATAATCAGTTATTTTTGACAAACTGGTTTCATTTTAATAAACCAATTCGTCATCTGATTATTGGAAAATTTGTACTTCTATTATCAAATAGATAATTAGAAAAATCAGAAAAAAGTTTTTTTTTCTCTTTTTTCTAAACCATTAAACCATCAAAATAAGATTTAACTTTTTGCTAGCCTTCGTATTAGGGATATCTAGTATTTTTTAATTAAAAAAAAAAGAATTATTTTCATCATGAATAATATGTTCAGAACTAATGATGATAACCTAAAAATGACTGACTTTGAAGATGAATTCATTAGCCAACCTTCTCGTAACTCTACTCCTGAAAAAAGTTCTGTGTAAAAGCATTTTGACAGAAATTCATCAAATTTACCAGGATATAATGTTTGCAAGAAGAGCTCTACAAAATATAAAGTGTTAACAGATGTTTCAACTTTACGAAAATATTTAAAAAAACACAAGTTAAATGTATCTATAAAGAAGCAGGGAATATTAGTTATCAAAAGAATAGATCCTTTTAACAAACAAAAATAAGAAAAATGATAATTAACTTATCGAATGGCTGATTTGTGATCTTTAGCCTTCGAAATGGCTATATGAAATAACCCGATTAATCTTACTCAAAATAATCCTGATTTCTAGGTATGATATCCAGAATTATAGCTGAAAGAAAACTCTATCATCACGTGACTCATTTATTTTGTATCTCAAATTAGATTTTATTATTACGTATATGTAAAAATGAATGGGGTATACGAAATCATTATCAGAAATAGCAACTGATACATATAAAATGCGGGTATACGCAGATTCAAGTAAATTTTATTTGATAACTATCATTGCTTTGAGTAAGAGAAAACTCCTCTCAGATTTTCTTTCACAAAAATTTCTTTTGTGCGAGATTGAAAGGTGACGAAATTGTTTTCCAGATTATATGAGAAAACATTGGCTTGTATCAGTTTATCGGCTATTTCTTTGTTATTGACAAGCTTAATGAATTCATCATACTCAATTTTTTCATTTTTTACTAACTCCTTAACGATGACATTGCCAATAGCATGATTTAATTCGCCCTTCATTATTTGAGTCTGATGAAAGTCATTTTCGATAGAATAGAACACTATTTTATGAATCTCTAAAAGCAAATATTTAAATGTAATAAGAACGTTCACACAAAGTTAATGCAAATTACCATTATTATTGTTTAGATAGTAAATACTCTTATCATGCCTTCTTTTATCCAATAACCATATATCTTGAGATCTTTAATCCAGTCACCTAAGAGTTTGATGAGTTGATTGGCGTCCTTTTCCTCAATGTTAAGTTTGCAGAGGTAAGTGAGTATCTCTTCGTCAGTTAGATCTCTGATGAAAATAGGTTGTTTATCAGTGCGCGACCAAGATGATCATTCTAGAGTAGAGCAAAGAAGCCATTAGCAAGAAATAAGATACAGATAAATCATTTCTATCATACTTATGCATCATAATACGTGGCACTGTTTCTTCACTACTGACAAACACAATGATGCAACTGGACTGGTCAGCATAGAGTTTGCGAGGTCCTGCAGATCCTCTATCATTTTCACATTTTTCTGACCCAGCTTACTTATGTTGTCGAGGATTAACATTGGTGGTTTGCCATCATTATTTGCTTTGTAATTTTTAGCTACTCTTTTGAAGGCATCTAGGACATGAAGAAATGGAAACTGTGAAGCTAAAATGCAGAGCAAATACCAGTACTTTTATACAATTAACCTAACCAGAATTGCTAATTTCTAGAAACTTCTGCCTAAATAATTCAATAAAGCTACAATGCTCATGGAATCTAATAGCATTTGCAAAATTTTCAACAAATTTATTCAATACAGGGGGACATTAACATAAATGACCCCTTTTCTAACTTCCTTAGCACACTTCTAAACTATTGTGATCTTTCCGATTCTGTGGTTCCCTACAACAACGTGATAAGTGCCATAGTTAGATTTCGTCTTGAAAACTCATCTCAGTTTATTGATAACATCCTCGCAGTAAATTATCTGTTTCTGCAGAATATCAGGTCCAGGACAGGAACCGTGTTCAAAGGCATTATAAAGCATTCTCTCAATTTAGCAGTTATACCAGCATGCGAAGGTGAGTCCAATGACAATTCTAGTATCATCAACCTATTTATAATCCTCTAAACAGAAATGTCAAGATGTAAGTCAAAATACACTGTCTGAGTGCCAAAAAAAATATATTAACATAAGGATAAAAAAGTACAATATCCAATTCTTTTTTACGCATTTTTTATGCTCTCTTTTACATTTCTTACTCCAGTATTCAGGGCATATTTGGCATCTGAGTAGGTATGAGTGTGGCAAGCCTGCAGTGTATAATAGTTATGTATAAGTGATAGACATGTATGTAGCTTAGCCTGTGTGGGCCAAAAACTGTAAAGAAAGAATTCTTAAGCTGCCCTAGTATTGTATCTGATGAGCATGAGGAAAAAATAATTTAATTTTGTATATTTTTTCTGATTTATTACAATACCAATAATTAATGTCAGTTGATTTTCATTTAACTATCTATTATAAAGAAGTTTTAAAAATACTGACATTTAATTCTGATTTTGTAATATAATGCTTGCATACATGCATGTATGTACAAAGAAT